TTCCCCCTGCGAGAGCTAGGTACCAAACCGCCCTGCTCCCTGTCCCGGCCTGGCAGGACTAGGAGGGCTTTGGCAAAGCCCAGACCCATTCAGCTCTGGCCGTCCTGGGCCCCGTTCTCCCCAGACCCCCCAGTGCAGGGGGCTCAAGAACTGCTTCTTCTCTGTGATTAAATGGTGGGGAGTGTGCTGGGCCGGATCCAGGCCTGGGGCTCTCAGCTGTCCTTGCCCAGGGCAAGGAAGGGGTCAGCTCCCAGAGGGGCCAAGCCTTTGGCCAGGGGGCTCCATGCCAGCCTGGCAGCAGCATGGGCTCAGGCGGCACAGGGACCCCAGTGATTGCAGCTGTGTGCTAGGGGCTGTACACACAGCAAGAGCCCTGAGGAGCTCCCAGTCCAAGCAGACAAGCAGAGACAGGGCAGGAGAAAGGTGGGATTGTTTTATACCCCCAGCCCAGGTTCATGGTGGAGCTGCCATGCGCGGAGGCCTTCTAATAACCAGGACTGGGTGGGCCCAGGTGGGAGCGTGTGGCCAAGTGGGGCCTGCCACAGCCCCAGAGAAGAAGGGGCCTCTGACGGGACCCGCTTCTCGCCTTCCCAGCGCCTGTATCCCGGGAGTACGAGAGCCAGCTGGTGTCATCATTCCCCCGCGGTGACCGGGACCCCAAGAGGAGCCAGGAGCGGGCCAGCACCACCACGTACCGGACCTGCTACACAGAGGTCTGCTCTCTGCCCTGCGGCTGCAAGGGGCCTTGCCACTGAGGGCCAGGGGGCAGGGGCAGAGCTGCGAGGGGGGCACGGCCCACTATCCATCTGGGCTGCAGCCCCCCAGGGCGTCCCAGCACTGCTCTGCCTGCCCTGGGACCTGGGCTGGTTCGCTGAGGCCGGCGCGAAGGCACAGGGAGCCAGGGAGGTGCAGCTCACCCTGCCTGGATGGGATGCGGGGGGCAGACAGAGCTGGCCCTGCATGAGCTGCTGCTCTCCTCCCCTCCAGTTTGACCAGGACAAGCGTCCCCCACGCCCCGCTCCGCCCCAGTGGAGAGGCTGGAGCTTTGTGCCCTTTGGGGATGACAAGCTGAGCTCGGCGTTTTACAGCACCTTGCACCAGGAGGAGTTTCCTCCACGGCCGCCTGCCCGGACGGTGCCATGCAACAGCAAGGACCAGTTGAAGAGCCACCTGCCATTGAACCAACCCGGTAGGCCGCGGCAGCCCCAGATCCCTCGCCTCCGCTGCTCGCTGGCTTTCCTCTTGCTCTGCAGGAGCCAAGCTCCCTCCTCCTGGGATGGGCTGGGCATTGCGCTGCCCCCAGGGCCAACTCCGGGGAGCAGTCGGGTGGTGCCCAGATGCCCAGCTCCACTGCTACGCTCCTCTGGGCACGAGTAGCTCTCGCTGCTCTTGCCCTATGCCCCTTTGGGAGGCAGCGCAGCCCTGCCGGGAGCTGCGGAAACCCACATCCCCACCTTGCAGCCCCTCCATGGCTGAGACCCACTGCCCCCGAGGCCCATCCACATTGCTGCCCTGCCATGCATGGTCCCGGTGCACAGGGGCTGCGGTGGGCAGGGGTCACAGCCCATTGCCCATGTCTCTGCTCCAGCTGCAAAGTGGCCCAAGGGCTCCTGGCTCTAACGTGCTCTTCTCCCCCCTTCCCCATGCGTCTACGAGCAGGGAACCTTCCCATCTCCAGTACCCAGGCCGCCTTCGTCCCCCACAGCCAACCCACGGTGCGGCCCATGGAGGAGTCGCTGCAGCGGGTACGGTGGAGCGGGGCTGTGGGCAGCGAGAGCCACTCTGTATGAGCTCTCCTGCCCCTGTGCTGGGGCAGGAAGGGGGCTTGTGGATCCCAACCCAGCCCTTGATGGGGTCCCTCCCACCATGGGGATTCAGTCCCAAGGAGCTGAGGGTGGTGCAGGCTGGGCTGGGTAGAGGCAGGGGAAGGCGCTGGCTCCCGGGGGCCGTCCTCTGCAAGCCAGTGCTCCTCCTGAGAGGAGCCGAGCGATAGGAAAGGCCCCCTTGCCTGCCTGGCCATTCTCCTCCCCTGCGCCTGGCTCTGAAAGCCCGTCTTCCCCCCGCCAGGTGAGAGACTCCCACCTGGTCCCGCCGCTGGGGGAGCAGCGGCAGTTCCAGCCGGAGCAGCCGGAGCAATACTACAACAAATACAGCGGCCCTGCCATCCTCTACGGGCGCGACTGGCTGGTCAGCAGCGTCCCGCTGGGCACCATACCAAGGTACAGCCCATGGGCAGAGCCGGGGGACAGCCCAACTCTCCCTGCCCCCCTGCTGGGGAGCCCCCGCCCCGGGCTCTGCCCTTGCTTGAGGTCCAGGATCCCACGGCCAAAGCCAACTTTGGCCTTGCAGGGCCCCATAGCAGGGATGCCCACAGCCATCTGCAGGAGATACCCAGGGCACCTGGAGGCAGGCGGGCAGCAGTATCCCCCTGCTCTGCAGCCATCGGGTGGGAGGTGGCTTGGGCTGGGAGGGAGGGAAGGGGGGCAGCACCATCAGGGCTGCCCCCAAGCTCCCCTCCAGGCTGGTGGCAGCACAGGCGGATGCCAGCTAGACAGAGGGAAAGAGGCTGCGTGCCCGGGCGGTTCATCCCACCAGGGCTGTACCTCCCCCCAGCTGCGGGGGCGGGGGGCATGGGGTGCAGCAGGGGCTCCCAGAAGGGTGCAGCACCCACCCGGGCTCCCCCCGGGTCCTGGGCAGGCGAGCTGTGTGCACCCATGCCCGCTCCCTGGGCGCCCTCGGGCCCCGGCATCGCCCCCAAAAGGACAGGCTGCCACAGGGCTGTGCAGAGCGATGCGTCTGCAGCGGGGCCGGGCCCTCCCGTTCTCCATCCCATGCAGGACCCGGACCAGCGACTGGGGGCCCAAGAAACAGCAGCGCAGGAGCTGTTGACCTGAGGATCTCTGGGCTGGGGGCAGCCTCCCCTGTCTCCACTATCCTGTAAATAGACCGTGTGTTGCTGACGTGCTGCCTGTGAGCTGTGCCCCTGGCCCAGGCCACCAGGCTGGACCCAGGGGAGCACCTGGCTCCTACCCCAGCTTTGCCACCGGCTCCTTGGTGACCTGTCCTCCCTCCATGCCTCAGTTTCCCCGTCAGGGAAGGGAGCGATGGCTCTTGCCCCGCATGCAGTGCCCAGAGCCCCGCGGAGGTGAAGTGCCAGGTAGGAGCAGAGTCCATGCCCCTGCTCAGGGGTCTGCCCAGGAGCTCATGTCCAGGGGAACCGACGGCAGGCAGGATCATCCGTGACTAGACTTCCCCAACCACAGGTCTGTTCAAAAATGTCCCGGTGCGGAGATACCACAGCCCCCCTGGGCGGCCTGTCCCGATGCTGAACCACCCCCAGAGGTTTCCCCCTCCTCTCGAACCTCCTTTCCCCTCCTGCGGCCTGGGGCAGTGCACCTCGTCCTGTCCCCTGCAGCCACAGAGAAAAAGCCCATCTCCGTCCTCTGTCGTCGCCTGGCAGGGAAGCGAAGACCTATCGAAGCCCCCTCAGTCTTCTTATCTCCAGACTAAGTCACCCTAGCTCTGTCAGCCTTTCCTCTCCAGTCGTGCTCCCCAGGCCTCTCCAGTGGGCTTTTTCCAGCCTGTCCCCATCCTTTGCGAAGTGTGGGGCCCAAAACTGGACGCACGACTGGAGGCGAGGCCTCACCAGCAGCGACAGAGCAGAAGAATCACGTCCCTTGATTCACAAGAGGTGGCCCGGTTAGCACAGCCCAAATGCAACTGGCCTCTTTTGCAACACGAGTGCGCTGTTGGCTCACATTCAGTCCACGGTAACCCCCAGCTCCTCTGCAGCACTGCAGCCCGGCCAGCCACTCCCCAGGCGGCGTCCTGACCCCTAACCCCTCTGTCCCAAGTGCAGGACGTTGCACTTATCCTTACTGAATTTCAACTGGCTGATTTCAGACTGTTTCTCCAGTGTATCCGGCTCACTCGATACCTCCTTCCAGCTAGACAGCGAGGGCTACAGATGGGAAAACTGAGGCACAGCAAGGGGAAGTGACTTGCCCAGGTCACCCGGCAGAGGCCAGACCAGAATGCCTGCTAGGAGGCCGTGCTGTGTCCCCGGGGAAGGCCGGGTTCATATGGGCAGGCACTGGATTCTCCATCTGCGACTTCCCTGTCAAGATGCATCCCTTCAGGCTCCACCTTGGACTATCCAGGGGCTTGCTATAAGTCCAGAGGGTTTCCATGGGCATTTGTGGGACATCTCCAGCCCCAGCTACCACCCCAGCCCCTGCCCCCCTCCCAGTTTCCTGTTAAAGCAGCCGCCCCATCGTTAACATCGCACAGCCTGTAGCCTCCATCCTCCCTGGGTCCAGAGCAGCATTTGCTGCCAGGCTTTATGGGTGCAATAACTCAGGATAAATTGGGCCGCGGCTTTAAGCAATTCCCTTTAATTGAAGCCTTCCCGGGGACCTGGTTCTACTATAAATTTACAGGTACGGCATTAAGTGAAATGCTCTGGGTTTCGTTTGCAATTAAACACAAAGGAAGCCACGGACAGGGCTACAGTGGCCGATGTGCTCAGCTGTCATTGCTTCATGCAAAACCTTGCTAGCAGGGACTTCCCCCTCCTAGCATAGACTTCCCCCTGAGACTGGGGCCCTAGGGGAAACTATAGGCCCAGGACGCGGCCTCCACACTCTTAGCCCCAGTATGAGAAACATCAGAAACGCTGCAAACCCTAGTCCTTGTGTCTACAAGGCAAAACCCTGCGGTTAACAGACGAGCAGATGAAACACGTAACGCTTAGCCCAGTTTAAACCAGGGGCAGACAGACATACGAGGCCCTCGCACTGACTTCAAGCTGCCTGGAACGGGACAAAAGCATCCCTGGAAAAGTCAAGTACACTTTTGAGCCGGTTCAGTGTCATGTGTGGACACGCGTGTTGTGCCACACGTCTGGTTGGTCCTCCAGGCATCCCACACTGCATCGTGCCCTGCACCACCCTCCCTGCCCAGGCATCTCCTCCCAAAGTCAAGCACACTGCAGACTTCAGTCAGGTGTGTGCACTGATGTTTATTGAGCTCACGTTTAGGAGAGAAGGGAAAGCAGAGCAGTGGAAATGCCCCCCGTCACTGGGCACCCACCCCCCAGGACTCCCAAAGCAGGTGAAAGTGCTTGCCCACTATAAGGCTGGCTGGGCTGGGCACTCACTCCCACCCCTCCAGGGTCAGAAAGGCAGCTCTTTGCCACCTATTAGGTGCCCATCCATCCTGGTGCGCCAGGCGCTGTACATGCCAACGCCTCCAATCCAGGAGGAGTGGGAACTTGCTCGATCAGTGCCAGCTTGGTGGCACATCTGCATTATGCATACACCCCAGTCCCGTCAGCCCCCACTCCTCGGAGGCTGTTTTGGAAGAGGAAAGCTGGGGGGAGGGCAGGCATGCTTGCAACAGGCCGGGAGGAAGCCACACGTGTGTTGCAATGTTTGCACACAGCCTTTTGGGAGGCCTGGCTCAAGGACGGGCCCTGGATCCAGCCAGCCACTGGCAGGACACAATTCCCACCACCGCGAACTGAGCTAAAATGGCTTCTCGGACCCAAAGAACAGCCCCTCGGTGCTGCCAAGGGGGGCTGGTCCGAGGGGCTGGGGGTGCGATGCAGGCGGGCTGGGAGATGGAGGGCCGAGGTCTGCTGGGAGGCTGGGGGCAAGCACGGCGGGGTTTTGGCCAAGGCCTGGGCATCTGGGGCATCAGGGCGAGGACCCATCACCCTTTCGGGGGAGGGAACAGCCCGAGACAGACCCAGAGCCGCTCAGGTGGGCTCTTGCCCAGACACCAGCGCGGGGAGGAGGAGGAAGGGGACAAGGAAGGCTGCCCTGGGGATGCCAGGGTGGGGGTGGAAGCTGGCACAGCCCATAGCTAGGCCTTGCCCACTTGGCTTGGGGGCAGCTCCTGGCTCTCCGGTTTCCCTGGCCTAGGGGCCAGCGGGCAGGAGACCCCGAGCTCGCTCTCAGCCAGCGTGGCCAGGCTCCGGTTGTAGCGCTCCGGGGGGGCCTGGCAGAGGGTCTGGTTGCGGGCGTAGAGGTGCACGGGCCGGCTCCGCAGCCAGCACAGGAAGTGGGCCGCGTGGCAGTCGCACACCCAGGGGTTCCCGGACAGGTCCAGGCCGAGGGCTTCGCGGGGCTCGGGCAGGTGGAAGTCCAGGGTGTGCAGGGCGTTGTGGGACAGGTCCAGCGTGTCCAGCCGGCGCAGCGGGAGCAGGGCGGCATCGGGCAGCGCGCTCAGGCTGTTGTTCTGCAGGAAGAGGTAGCGGAGGCCGCAGGTGGGGTGGAACGTGTCCTCGGCCAGCACCTGCAGCCGGTTGCCCTCCAGGTTCAGCCGCTCCAGCTGGGCCAGGCCTTCCAGCGCCGCAGCGGGCAGGCTGCTCAGGAAGTTGTGGGACAGGTCCAGGCTCTGCAGGGCGTGCAGCGCGAGGAAGCAATGCGGGGGCAGCTTTTGGAGTTGGTTGCCGGAGATGTCCAGCCACTGCAGTGCCCCCAGGGACCGGAACCAGGAGGGCTGCACTCTCCCCAGCCGGTTCCCCTCCAGCACCAGGTGCTGCAGGAGCCTGCTGGCACAGAAGATCTTGGGGGGCAGGTCCTCCAGCAGGTTGCCAGTGAGGTCCAGGACGCGGAGCTCGGGCACGGGCCAGAGGAGGCCGGCAGGGAGGCAGTGGAGCCGGTTGCTGGACAGATGCAGCTCCTGGAGCAGGGGCAGCCCCTGCAGCGCATCCTCGCTCACGGCGCTGAGGTTGGTGAACTCCACCGAGATGCTTAGGATGCTACTGGGGAGGCCGGAGGGGAAGACGTAGAGGTCCGGTGCGGTGCACACGAACGCCGTGGCATTTCTGGGCACAGGCGGGCATGGCTGCCCCCAGCTGCAGGGCAGGGCCAGGAGGAGCGGGGCTAGCAGGGTGAGGCCCAGGCAAGCCATCCTGCAGCGTGGTGGGGAACGGAGGCTGCAGGGAGGAAGAGACAGGGCTACTTTGGGACAGGCAGCTCTGCTGATGCCCCCAGCCCTACCAGTGCCCCCACCCATCGCTCCCTGCCAGCCCTACTCTGGGCAGAGATGGCCCACCCCCAGCTGGCCCCATAGCACAGCTCTGGCATGCAGCAGCCTGCACGTCTCTCCCACGAGCCGTCCCCGAGCTGGGCTCTGCGTCAGGCTGGTGCCCAGGGCTGCCCCGCTGCCTGCACCCCCTCACCCTGCAAACAGTGCCAGCGTGGTTGGTCGTGACCTGTCCTGTCCCGCCGCTCCTGCTTAGTGCCCCGGGCAGGGGATGCGGGTGCGGGGAGAGCGGCAGGGCTGGGCGGGGGCTGGCAGCTTCCTGGTTCTTTTGCGACCGACGGGCCAGGTTGGGAAATTGCAGCAGGGAGGAGGAGGGGGGGGCTGTGCTCGCTGCTTCTCTGCCAGCTGCCCGATCAGCTGGGAAATCAGGCCTGAGGGCACCCCTGCTGACCTGCGGGCACCTGCACCCGGGCACACTTCAGGGTGCCCGTCATCCCTGCACTGGCACCTTCCTGCCTGGCTCTGGGCAGCACGCAGGGCCCGTGTCACGAGGTCCCCCCAGCACCAGGGGCTTCCATCTGGCCCAGATGGGATTAAAAAGCACCTTGCCTGCACAGCCCCACGCCTGGACCTGTGCCATGGCTGGGACCAGGACAGCACTACAGAGCCTGCCTGTGTCACCAGCCCCGGGCACAGAGCAGGCTGATGAGCCCTCTGCCTCGCCAGGCGGAGCTGGTCTGGGCTCTCCGGCTCACCCGAGGGGGGAACGTGAGCTGGGTCGGGGCTGGGGATGCCAGAGGGGAGCATTGGTGGGAGGCTGTGCGGGGCAGCAGGCTCGAGGGTGGAAGTGGCAGGGCTCAAGCCATGCTGGGACAGAGGCCAGCCCTAGCCCCAGTGGCACTGACCCAGGAGAGCTTCAGCCCCCTCCCCATTTGCCTCCCAGACCCCCCAGCAGGCGGCTGTGCCCATGTGGCTCCTCCAACAGCAGCTCCTGAGCTCAGGACCCAGACTAATGGGCAGCACTTGGCCAAGCTGGGACCAGTTAGGCAGCCCCATGCGATGTCTGCACCCAATCACAAGCGCCCCACGGAGTCGAATTCAAGTCGGGGGCTCCAAGCTCTTGGTGCCCAGCGCGCCCCCCCTCCTGGCATCTCAGCCAGCGGGTCCCTCTTCCCCCCCACCTCGCAGAGCCGGTCCCTCTCGCCAACAGGGCTGCGTTCCCAGTCCCATGCCCCAAACTGGGCCACGTCCCATGCCCCAAACTGGGCCAGGTCACCACCCGTGGCAGAGGCTGGCACCTGTCCTACCAGCCGGGACCGGCAGATGGCAGCCGTGCCTTCTGATCCAGCCCGCTCTCTCCTGGCGCAACCCAGGCGTCCTGCTGGAGGCGTTGCTCCTGATCCCCTTGGCCCCACCTGCCTCTTGGCCCCTAGCAGGAGGATGGCAGGAGCCCAGCTAGTGCCAAATAGAAGGAGATTTGGCCATCTGCTGAGACCTGGCACACTCGTGTCAGTCACAGCACTGGCCGGAGTCCCCAGGTCACTGCTGATCTCCCTGGGCTGGGGCCGGCAGTGGCTGAGCTGCAGGAGGGGAGCAAAGGTCTGGTTGCGGCTGCAGAGCCCCAGCTGCGGGTCTTGCTTTCCTTCTGCTACCTTTGCTGGCGGGCGGGAGCCGGGGTCTCCCTCTGCAGCTCTCAGCCACGGAGATGCAGGGCAGCTGCTAGCACCGGTTGCCCCCAGCTCCCATGGCTGCAGCCTGCATGGGCCCCTGCAAGCCAGACCTGCCCTGCCCGCAGCCCTGGGAGCAGAGCCCAGGAGTCCAGGTCCCCACTGCCAGGCACCTCCAAACCCGGCCCTGCCGCCCCCAATCTGCCATGGCACCGTGCCCTTGGCTGGCCGGCACTCCACAGTGCCAGGGGGACTGGGCAGGTCCCTGTCCTGTTCAG